ATCTGCATTCTCATCTAGAATTCCCATTTCTTTCCAGGAAACTCAGAACTTACGACGAAGGAAAGTCAACCCTGCCAATGACGATCTTGCTGAAGAACAGCCTGGGCATTGTCGTTCTAGATGACAACCTAGTAAGGTAGTTAGTAGGCAGAAGCATACCTCCTCGCACTAGGTCACCTACTAGGTTTTCATTCAGATCGACAAAAACCCAGATGAATTCATCGCCATAAAAACTCGAGTTTGTATTTCCTCTAGAAAAGCAAAACTCAGTATGCCTAATATAACTAACAATGTCTGGTACTACCATTTCCACCGGGACCACTATATCGTTGCTCGGTATTGCCATCAACAATTCCGTGCGGAGATCTATTGTACACCTCAACCGCTTTTCACGATCTACAAAGCACATACACAGGCAGTTTCAGATGACGATTCTCACATTATGGGGTTCAGCACCCAAGTATACGCTGATCCTCTTAGATTCTATCCAGAGAAAAGCCATCCGCCCGGTGGGTAATGCCACACTCACTTATACGTTGACTCCTCTAAAACACCGTAGGGAAATGGGCGACCTTTCGTTTTTTCATATATACTTCCACGGCAAATGTTCCTCAGAAATCGCTGCTATCATTCCATCACTAGAAATACCACTCAGACAAACTCGACAGGCCCAGTCAGCACATCCTCACGTTGTGAACCTTGAAATAAGTCGAACAACACTCACACAAAACTCATTCGTCTATAGAACGGCAAAGCTTTGGAATTCTATGACAGTGCAAGTATTCCCAAGAACTCATAACCTCCGAATGTACAAAAAAATTCAAACACCTTCCTCCTCCCCCTATCCTTTTTAGGAACGCAAAATGCTCTTGGAACTTCCATTCTTCACTATAAATGAAATGAAATGAATCATGCAATGTTGCCAAACATAAGGACGCAATAAGATACTCCAGATAGAAATACTGGAATTTCGTATATTTTTCGTATATTCCGCTCTGGCGGAAGTCTTCTGAACTACAATGTATATTTTCTGTTCATTTACGCATAATATTGCGTCCGATGTGCTACAAGACTTTTCCGCATATCTCGAGTATTTGGACAGATAGACCAGTCAATCTCAGATCTATCGATAGGTGGAGGCATGGGCTTTCAAAACACATTTTTCTACATTATTTCAAGCAGTTCTATTCAAAGTTTAACGTTGATGACATTATCGCGTCCATATATGGACGCAATAAATAGAAGGACGCAGTAATAAATGTAAAAGGGCAATGATTGGACGCAATTATGATAGCAGGATGTATATATATATATATATATATATATATATATATTATAATGATTGAAATCGAATGATGGGTGTCCTGCACATAACTACATACCCGTGAAGGATTATCTTCGCCATCGGTTTGGAGAAAATTTGATAACCACCAATTGTCTCGATGGTGATAGCAACTGGCCAGCTCGACCGCCAGACCTCACCCCACTCGATTTTTATTTGTGGGGCTACTTGAAACAATAAATTTATGTGTCGCCTATTGTGAATATGGGAGAAATGAAAGAGAAAATCACAAATTTATGCGCACAAATTGATCGCAACGTGATACATAGGGTCACAATGAACGTTATCAAAAGAGCTAGGAAATGTTTACAGCAGAATGGACGACATATTGAGCAGTTGTGGTTTTATTTTTTTTTCATTCAATTTCAATCGTGTTATATTTATAACATCTAATCATATAATTTTTTTATTGAATCGTTTTGTTTCCTGCCATATCTTCGTAGTCGTTTGAAAAAATCCCATCAAATTCGGCATTGTTGAATTTGTAGTAATGAACTCTACTTGAATATAGAATAATATACTGGGTGTCCCTAATCAAATAGGAAAGTTTAGGTGCACTTCGGTGTTACCCTGTATACCAACGATTTATTCAATAACATATTTCGAGTGAGCATCATCAAAGATACTGGGTGACCAAATTTCAAGTCATTCGATCACGCGGTTGATTTTTTACATGGGAGACATTTTAGCTGGGACACGGTGTACAGTGCCCTAATTAACTCAAGTAATTCCTTTGGTCTCAGTTCAACTTATAGACTGGCAGTTGATGTCATATTCTGTGCAACGTTTCATAAATATATGCATCTTTCAAGTCATGATTTTCATGGGTTATTTCCAACATTTCCTAGCAAGAGAATCCCTATACCATAGATCTAATTACACAACTATCTCCACTAATATTTTAAATGTGAAAATAAGTTTGTTTGTTGGGCTTCAACGCCGAAACAACTGAACTGATTATCAAGAAACTTTGTGTATATATTTTTAGATGCATTAGAAACGACATAGGATACTTTTTATTGAGAAGAGAGAAATAAGGCGGGAAATTGATTTTGGCAGGCATGATTGTTGGACACAAAATATCCTGAGATATTGAATATTGAAAAACGCCTTTTAATCTAACCTAACATCAGGTGGGCACTTCTAAGGCGCAAACTCTTTACTACATGGAGATAGATATATACCCTTCAGATTTTTTGCTATCTGGTCTATATTCCGAATTCAACTGGTCAGTACTGACAGTAGATCTACTGAAGCTGCTGAAGATCTGTGTTCCGAAATATAAAATCAAAAATACAGTGCTGTAATTTGAAACACGTTTTCATGGTTTTTATCAGTAGTCAGCAGCAGTTGATCACAGGCTGGTGAAATTTGTCAGTCTGTAGTTTCTCGTTTATCTGAACTAGGTATTTAGCCTCCTGTTTGATATAAATTTTGGAAATTTTGTATTCAACCTGGAAGAGCAATCGATTCTTGTAGCCTCTATAGTTTCTACGATAATTGACTATGACGATTCAAGCTGAGTGATGAATACTTGGACATTTTGTTGCCATTAATTTTTCATGATGCACCAGATCGGGAATTGAAAGATTCATGGAAAACGTAATGATGATGAATTCAGGAGGAATTCCAGTTTTATTTAGTTACTTATTTATTTAGCCAATGCTGCTTCTTGTTTCGATACCTCTACAACTTCATACTCCATACTCAGCTTATTGTTTCAATAACAGCTATTTTCTGATATTGAAAATAATATCATTAACAACGGAAATAAATTTTACATTCCTTCCCCCTCTAAAATAATGACAGTTCACTGAAGCCACACTACCTTTTGATTCTCAGCAATTTCAGCAGAATGTTGAGTCGAAATATTTGGAATGAATAGTATGTCTGCTCACAAGCATCTGTCACTTTCAGTGAATTTTTTGATTTCGGAATGAAAAATCAGCAGATTCAGTACTGTCAGTTGAATTCGGAATATAGCCACTGTGACTAGACCACGAATGACATTGACGTTTTGGTCTTCTGCGCAACCAAATTGCACAAATTTAATACAACCTGAATTGATTCATCTAGAGACAAGGCGCAACAAATACTCCATGCAGAAGTATGTTGTTGTAGTGAAATATATTCTGAGTTCTGTTCTTGTAGATGAATTATTTCAATAAAGCATGTTATTAGTTCTTGAAACTGTATGTCGTGATTTTTGAATACTGAATCACATTGATTCAGTTCTGTTGGAATGTAATGATCTTTGATATTTATTTCCAGTGATGAATAATTCGCAGAGATCAGCTGATCACAACAAATCGCTTCCAGAAATGTCAAATGAATCTGACATAAATCGGTAACGCTCATTTCGAAAGTTATTAGTATTTTTCGTTGTGAAGTTCTGACACGACATTGTTACCAAGTATTTCGCAACTATCTTTCGATTCAATTTGGATAGTGATTATTCCTTTATTTGCATCATTCTAGGGAAGTGACATATTATATGAGTACCTATATGCATGTGTTGCAAACAAATCAATCAACCTCAATCCAAATATATGTTCAACTATATTTTCAATGATCATTTACATTACTTTATATAAATTTTAATATTGTAACATTTTACTATTATTCTTAAGAATACTTGAATTTTGGATTTGAATACGTTTTATGTTTTCATGTTTCTTTTTACTCTGCGAGTATACAATTTGTTGTTTACTATTTTTAAATTAATGTATGTATGAATTTGTTTTTTTTTGGTCACATACAGGTTGAGGCCTCTGTGAGTTTCCATGATTGATTGTGAATTATTTTTCTGATGCAACTTTGTGAATGTAGTTTTATTAGCAATCAAACGATTCTATTCTATTCTATCTAGGCCGAGTGAAAGGACTTCAGCATCGTAACGGTTCTTCTTCTTCTTCTTCTTCGAAGCACTGGTGGGCGGGTGAACCCCCTGCACGTGGGCCTCCTTATTCGGGCCCATTGTGCGCCCACATGTTACGTCATTCAGCTGGGTATGCCGACTGCCTTGGAGAAGTTCAGCAGCTTCCTCAGCTGAATCTCTCTTACGTCCTCTGGCCTCAAAATTATGTTGCCAAGGACAGCCCTCCTCTGATGCGTCAGTGCTGGACACTCAGTGAGGACATGTGATGACGTTTCGTCATCTTCCAGGCACCATCTGCAAAGGGGGTCATCCTTGATCCCAATAAGCTCTAGGTGCCTATTGAGGTGGTTGTGCCCCGTTAGGAGCCCCACTACCATTTTAAGGTTTCGCCTGTTGAGGAATAAAACCTCTTTTGTGAGTCTCTTCGAAGGTTCCTTCATGTGGAGCTTCGATTGTCTCATTCCTGGTGTGTATATTTTGAGATCGTAACGGTTCACTTTAGAGACAAACAGTACGAGACTTTTTTGTATAAAATTGAATCTGAATTATTTCTTATCGTAAGTGTTTTGTTGATGAAATTGATGGTTTGCTAGAAACCAAGAAAATGTATATTCTTACGGCCAGAAGGGCCACGTCGACTTCGCTCGAGGAGGAAAACTGGGGATAGTAATATCTGGATCCAAATAAAGCGATTAAAGCAATTTTCAGCTTTCCACTAAATATTTCCTCAATGATGCTTTTTTGTAGACCTGTCGCCTGGTCTATAACATTCACACTCACCTTTATGGTCTTCGGGACCTCTAATAGATTTGGGCAACGGCGTGAAAATATTCGCATTGGAATCGTTCAATACTGCCTCATTGACGTTGGCGGCCTTCGGCCTTATGATGTTCATCAGTTTTCCTCGTCGTTTAGCCTCGGTTTTCTCAGATTCGCGAACCTTGTTCGAATCTAGGAATTTCAGGTTCGGCAGGTGGTACAGGACATAATACCTGGGATATAAACATATACGTCATTCAGAATAATTATCACATTTGGATAGACGATATAGTTCCTCAAAACCCATATTCATAAGTAATATCAGAATTTATTCTTAGAAAATGAAATGTATGGAAATAAAGAGTGTACTAGTTTTTTTGCATATACAGGGTGAGTCACGACTAACCAGCCATAGCCTGATGGCAGATAGATGAAGTCAAGATGAGTTGGTATATATCAGAAAAGAAATACAAGGAATTATTTGATTTCGAGAAGAAATTTTGATGAACGATATTCCAGGAACGTCTTGATGTTATCGCCTGAAACTTACCAGCAACTTACCTCAACTGACACACCGCACACGATGACCTACGATGGAAAAAAAATCGAGAGTTGGATTTGAAAACTCTCTTTTTTTTCACACCGTGTGGTGGTCGGATTAGAATAACCCCACGGTAAGTTCTGCCTGTCGTAGAAGGCGACTTAAAGGACGCCAACAGGTGGAATATGGTTAACGCCATCGCCCGGTGCGATACCACCACATCAACCATAGGCACTGTGAAATAGGTATACCTACCCGTGTTTTAGAAGCTGGTTGATGTACCGGCCAACCCCACCCAATTTTCTCTTCCTTTCACGCCAACCTCCCTTCTCTATACAGAATAAGCGATGATAAGTTATCCTCAAGTAAAATTATCCGGAAGTAGAATACCTCTCCATTCGGATTTCCGGGCGAGAGGTGCTAGAGGGGGTTTACCATCGACTGAAAAAGTCCTCAAGATAGACCTATGTAACATCCGAGGTCTGAGTAAGAACATCAACGATGTCCATCGACACCTTCAAATTGAAAAGCCAGACATAATGGCTCTTACTGAAACACAGGTCAATTCATCTATCAATACGACCTATCTGATCTGTCCTGGGTACGAACTCCACACACGTTTCAGATTCAAGGGAGGTCTCCGCCTCTACTCTAAAATGAATCTCTCATTTCAACGAAAAAAAACTTTGGAACCAAATAAGATTGATGTCATGTGGTTCAAACTCGATAGCCAGAAACAGACCAAATACCTTTGTTGTCTCTACTTATCACCAAATGATCCATCCTATGAAGAGCTCTTCGATTTCTGGTCTCTGAAGTTTGATCAAATTCAACAGAACCATCCAGGAGCAGAAATCATCATCTTGGGCGATTTCAATGTACACAACACTGCTTGGCTCGTACACTCTAACAGAACGGATGATGCTGGGCGACAAGCCGAAGCTTTCGCCATCACTCACGGCTTAGAGCAGCTTATCAAAGAACCCACACGAATTCCCGATGCCAATAACCATTCAGCTAACATTCTTGACTTATTCCTTACTAATAATTTAGCACCCTACTCCATAGATGTACGAGCTCCACTTGGCAATTCTGACCACACACTCATCTCCACAACCTGCCCATTTCCATTCCATCAACTGCTACGGCACCCCCACGTCTTATATGGCATTACAATTCAGGAGATTGGGACGGTCTCCGCATGTTTTTCTCCGAGTTTCCTTGGCATAGAGTATGCTTTGACTCTGAAGACCCTCCACAGTGGGCTGCGGAAATATCAAAGATCATCATGCTCGGAATGGATACATACATACCCCATTCTTCGAAAAGATGATCACCATCGAAACCCTGGTTCAACAAAAACTGTTCTGTTGCCTTGACACAAACAGCCTACCATCGCTGGCGCAAAAACCCTAACCTCGGAACTAGAGCAGAATAAGTTGATGCCAGGAATAACTGCAGCCAAACAATAGATGCTTCGAAAAGAACATACAATGTCAAGATAAGATCGAAACTCATAGATTGTCCCAATGGCTCCCGTTCGTTTTGGTCCCTTGCTAAAGCGGTCAGAAGAAATTTCACTAATAGCTCATTTCCACCACTGTCCAAATTCGACGGCACATTAGCAACAACATCGCAGGAGAAAGCGAATATTTCCGCAGAGATGTTCGCAGCAAACTCTACTTCGGATTCCCAAGGAAAAGTTCCACCAGATATTCCACCCATTAAGAGTCGAACACCGATTCTCTGCAAGTTGTTCACAGTCTCGTACAGGTCGTGTATTTTTCCATCATGCTGGAAGACAGCTAGAGTCCAACCAATCCCCAAAAAAGGGAAAAAGAACCTGCACAACAACTACAGGCCCATTGCCCTGTTCAGTAATCTCCAAAGTGATGGAGAAAGCCATTAATATTGAGCTTATCAAATATATGATAAGCTTAGAAATCATCAATGAAAGACAATAAGGTTTTCGTTTATGGCAAGCTTCATTAGAAAAACACGGGGCAACATGCATACATACGCTGATGCTCTTAGATTCCATCCAGAGAAGAGCCATTCGCTTGGTGGGTGACGCAACACTCACTCACTCTTTGACATCATTGGAACACCGTAGAAAGGTCGGCAACCTTTCACTTTCCTATCGATATTTCCACGGGAAATGTACTTCGGAAATCTCTGCTACCATCCCTTCACTAGCAATATCAGTCAGACGAACTAGACAAGCCAAGTCGCACATCCTTTCGTTGTCAACCTCGAGAGATGTCGAACAGCACTTTATCAAAACTACTTCATCCATAGAACGGCTAGGTTCTGGAATTCTTTGCCTGAGGAAGTATTCCCAACAACATATAATCCTCAGAAGTTCAAAAAAAAATCCAATACCTACCTCCTGTCCCTATCTTCATAGGAACGCACGATGTACTTTGAACATTATAGGGATTTTCTTTCGTGCGCTCCAAGCGATAAAAAAAGCATCCACTGAGTTAGCAATTTCTTGAAATCAAATCACAGAATCAGACTGACAGATCTTTGATTACTTCAAAACAATGACAAAGATGTCTGCAACGCAGATGTAATTCCTGTTAAAAACTTCGAATTTTGAGTAGATAATTTTCAAATTTCAATATAATGTGATATCTTCTCAATATTGATTCGTCTTTTTTCCTGTCACAGAAAAAATATTAGATTTTAGCTCACAGTTTTTTGTTTTCCTCCGCTTCGCGTCGAGCTAAAATTGACTACTTTTTTCCCTCGTATAATAAGAGACTATTTATGATCGCATATTCATTAGAAGGAAGGTGTTCTAGTGCACATTTCCATCAGTGTGGATTTATTATCATGTGAAACTTCTTACGTTAGTTTTGTGTTGCGGAATCGAGTGCGGAATTCTCGCCTCTGATTTTCCAGGTGGACTGAAAACGTTTTCTCACCTGTATCTTTGATAGTCTTCTTCATCATTTTCTGCTCCAGATAATTCATTTGGACAAGCTTTATTTCCCAGCAGACTCAGATAAGTTATATTAGGTAGGTTCTGATTTATTTTCAATAGAAGTGTTTCTATGTCTTGTATCTGAAAAAGGAAAAACAGTCAGGGAACATTATGAAATAATGATATATCTTGCAATTGCAATTGTGCCAGAAGTGGGCAGGTAGTTTTCAAGAAATGAAAAACAGCCACTGAGGATTGTCTATCGACTTTGCATCAATTACAGGAGATTATTTGAAGAAAGTGAGTAATGAGATACTTTTTATTCACACTCCTACCACGTACAGAGAGAGATCTGTTAGGTTAAATATCAAATAACTATTAGGAAGTCTTCTTTTTTATTTATTCTGCAGAAACAAACAGGCAGGGCCTAATAACATGTTTCTAGAAAAATCTGAATACAAGAGGCAATTGAAAGTAAATTAAATATGGCAATAATAATAATACTCACAACAACAATAATAATACCAATAATAATAATAATGACAATGAATACCTAACTGAAGAAGAGGAAATTCACACCAGACATCATGAATTCTCACCAAGCATTTATAACATTCTTCAAATTGGCTTTGAATTTAGGAATTGAAGTATATCTATTGACTGGGGTATCGTATTTATTTATGTAGAAAGATATTTGTCGTGGACGAACTCCTGGTGGCGGTACGTAAAGGAAAATTTCACTAATTAGGAACATACTATCTACCTGTCCATTCAATAATTTAGCAAGTAAGATTAAGCTTATGAGGATTCTTCTACGTAAGAAGTGAAACTAGGAGACAGTTTATATTTTTTGTAATATAGGAATTTTACAAATTTATTTTGGATTGTTTCCATCATTTTTTTCATTTTTCATTATCCTGGATCCCATATAGTACAAGCATTTTCTATCTTGCTTCGAACAATTGTGATGAACAATGACATTTATATCTGTAAATTCTTGTGTGCTAAGTTTCAAGAAACCGAACAACTTATTGGTTTCTTTCACAATATTCTGCATGTGTAGAGTGTACTTGAAGTCACTTTGAAATATCACTCCAAGGTCACATATTTTGTCGACTCTTTCTAAAACAGTATTTTGCATAGTGTAAATGAAATTGTGTCTATTATTGTTTCGAGAGAACGTGATAACTTTACATTCAGATAGATTGAATGATAATTTATTTTCCAAAGACCAATTCACTATCAGAGATCTAGATCATTTTGCAGTTCAAGATAATCATTGAGATCATGAACTTTTCTATACATCTTAAAATCATCAGCATATAGCAAACAATTGGATGAAATACCTTCTGGAAGGTCATTGATGAAAATTGAGAAAAGTAATGGACCCAGGTTTGACCCTTGTGGTACACCTGAGCCCGCCAAGAATGAGTGAGATTCCTCACCTTTAAAAGCAACATGTTGTTCTCGTGCCTTCAGATATGAGACGAAAAAATCATCAAATGATCACTCAGTCCGTAGGCTTTAGCAAAATCCGTGTAAATGCAATCAACCTGGATTTTTTCATCCATACTTTTACTTATATTTGTACTGAAAGTCAATAAAATTGTTTCTGTTGATCTTTTCCTTGTGAATCCATGTTGGTCAGATACAATATAATTTTTCAAGGCAGTATGTAGTTTCTCGTGAATAATAAATTCAAAAATTTTTGCAATACAGTTTAGTACTGCAATCGGTCGATAGTTATTCATTTCAAATTTCGCACCTTTTTTGAAAATCGGTGTTATTCGAGTCTCTTTGAACTGGTTCGGGAATACACCACTTTTCATTGATTTGTTATAGATTATTAAAAGTGGGTATGCTAAACAATCTTTGCACGCTTTGAAAATGTAGCACGGAATATTGTCTGGTCCAGATGACCTTATCGGTTTCAATTTTCGAAATGCTTGTTCTAGTTCTATTCAAGGAATATAATCTCGCCAGTAACTCCTGGCAGATTATTTTCTATTGGGATAGAGCATAAATCTGAAGTGTGTATTTAGATCCATGGTCAGAAAAATGAGCGAGACAATATTCATCACAAGTGTTTATAGTAGGGAAGCCCAAGCGGGGATTTCGGAATTTACTCAAGCGCGGTAGATTACATGAGGGGGGTATCCTTGGACCCTGTGAAGTACTCTTACCATATCTGGGCCCCTTATATGGCGTCGAAAGTTTAGGGCAGCCGATCAAATTATTGAAAAAAATCCATCGTCAGAAATACTCGAGCGCATCAGATTAAGACATGTTACATTAATTACATTTCAATAATCTGACGATTTGAGCGTGACATAAGGAAGTGGGAGAGCCACAAAGTCGCAAAAAAATCGTCACCTGTACATTTTCGAGCGCGGTTAATTTTTTTCTTATTTTGAAGGCATTCAGTCACGGATCACGGAAATAACATAATCTGCCGATTCGTACAAGCCGAAGTAGCGAAAATAATCAATTAAGTGTGGGGCTCGCAGCCACTGGGAACTATGTATGTTATTGTGGTAACGTAAAAGTATGACTCCGTATAGTGTTATCAATGTTTGTATCTTGTCATTTTTTGACATTTGTAGAGAAAACTGCAAATGCAGGGTGGACCAATATTGTGACAAAGTGAGAGGCTTTGCTGTTTGATATAGATGGACAAACATTTTTGAGGTGGTCTAGGCTCATGAGCAGCACATTTCTGGAATATTTTGCTTTATATAGGGCTACTCAAGAATTCGTGGCGTATCAAAGTTATACTTTTTCTTATGAGACACCCTGTATTTCATCGCATTTTCAGATTCTCCCTTGTGAGCTGATTCCATCGATCTATCACCTTTTACGAATGCAGGGTGGTTTATAATTCAGAACTGTGAACCATCACCCTGTAATCGTTCAAATTGAATGTCAGTAAATGGTGAATCAAAAGTTAAAATTGGGACATGTGGGTCGTCTTGACCAATAATGAGTATTTTTGATACAAGATATTCCGAAAGTTGTAGAATCTCGATTTTTTGCACACTATTTCTCTGTGATAATTTCATTTGGAACTAAAGTGTGATATATATTGTTGGAATCAGCTCATAATGAGGAATCTGAGAATGCAATAAAATACAAAATGTGCTATTAGGTATTCACTACTGAAATCTGAAAATGAAGATGGTAAAATCAAGATTAATTAATGAAAACATCCTGTAACTCATTTGATTGCCAACGTTACCAATTGTCACTGAGAACTGAAAAGTGTCAGGACAAATAAGGAATCGCTATTCAAATATCCATTTTTAATGTTGAGAACGGGGTGGAAATTATGAGAAGTGTATATCAGTCAAAATTTCACCTTTCTGGATGACAACAATCCTGGAAAATAACTGAATAACTACAGCAAGAAGGTCACGCAACTATCTATATGATCACCCATCAAGAGTAGCAAAGTTCCCTACCTACGATTATTATATTGTCCTACTCCAATTATTAGATGCACTCGCTAGTGGCAGCAAGGTTCTATATCTAATAATCGCAGGTGGGTTATAATCAGCAAAGTCGACTTTATAATCACAGGTGATAACTCGCTTGTCCCCTATGCTATCAGAATTTCTTGCTAGGGTAATTCGATTTCTGACCATGGTTAGTAGGCATTTCCATGAGTGTACGTATGTGTCTACAGACGTCTTCGCATTGAGCCACGTATTCGCTCAAATATTCCTAGAGTCTCTCTCCTTCCCTGCACGCGATGATGCGGTTTCTTAAGTCCTCTACATCGCGAACAAGAGTACGATAAACTAAATGCTGTAAATGGCTCCAAGTAGAGGAATCTAGAGGATTAAAATCCAGGGATCGAGCGGGCCAATTCTGTGGTCTTCCTCGACCTATCCACTGCTTTGCATATGTTTCAGTTAAATGCTGACGTGCTACTTGACTAAAATGGGCGGGAGCCCCATCATGCATTCTAGACATATCCCTTCTGACGCCCAAAGGAACTTCCTCCAGCAGAACGGAATGTACTCCTCTTAAAAATTGAACGTATGCCTCACCATTCGACCGAGGAGGTAGAAAATGAGGCCCAATTAAATAATCCCCAATAACTCCGACCCACACGTTAAGAGAAGGCTGTTCTTGATGATTAGTTTCGACAATAGCGTGAGGGTTTTCATCAGCCCATATGTGGTGATTATGAAAATTAATAATCTTGTCCCGAGAAAAGCTACCTTCGTCTGTGAATTCGATCGTCTTTAGAAAGTCACGATTAATTCTAATCATTTCCAGCATCCAATTGCAAAATTCAAGACGGTTCAGAAAGTCTCGTGGTATCAGTGCCTGTACTCGTTGCAGAGGGTAAGGGTATCAGAGTTGTTCCTTTAAAATTCGAAATACCGCAATATGATCAACATCTATCTGGAAAACAATCTTTCTATAGTGCTGGTAGTAGGTTGTTCTTCAATCAAATTGAGTATTGCATCCTGAAGCTGTGGTGTTCTTACTTCTCGAATGCGACCACAATCCTGCGTTCTTTTGTCGAATGAACCATATTCTCGTAATTGTTGCTGAAGTCGGGAAAAATTGTATGTGAAGGATGCTGCCGTTGAGGATACATTTCAGCATATCTTCTAGAAGCTTCTAACCCCTGCGACAGACCGTAAACGTGATGCACATCAGCCATTTGATCATTATTTGTGTATGCCATTTTGATAACAAGAAATTATCAAAGTAACAAATTAAGAATAGAACAACAATACACAATGAGTTAATTTTTTTTGTGTAAAATTTGTATATCGCTACTTCGAAGTTGGAAACCAACTCCCCAAAAGTCGAAACTTGTGCGGGGTTAGGAAGAGCGGGACCTACAGCTTATAGTGGAATCCGAACCACTTCTAGGGCATCGAGGTGCTGCCAGGATTACAACCATGAATCACACATTCTTAAGAAAAATGCTCAGCCGATAGCCGGATTCGAACCGACAGTACCTCTGTATCGTGAACGGCTATCTAGCGAATTTCAGCTCATAGACAAACTCGGCCACGGAGTATTACTTCAAGTTCAAAAATTCACAAACTGACACCTTGATACCAATTCAATTGTCACTATCGCTGATAGCGGCCTACTAAATTAGTTTCGTAGTGGCTTTT